AATTTAGAGGAATTGTAAGAGGAATTGTGTGGAATATATTTTAAATAACCTACTGATCTTATTAATAGTTTATTTGTATTTGAATTTAAACTGTTGAAAGTACGATAATTGTTTTGCAAGAAAAAGTGTTTACATGGAAATAGCATATGTAATTTTTCTTCATTTCTGTTAGAAAGAGTCTATTATGTAAATTTCCATAGCGCATTAATTTATACAAATAAAGGAAAATTGAAAAATAAGCAAAAGGAAAACATTCAAGAAAGATTTAAGGGCGTCGGATACCTATTCTTTTCACCTAAATTATGAGTAAGTCTAACTAAAATTATATTTTATTCCATTATGCGCTATTTCTATTGAAACGCTTTTCGGGATCTTGGATCGTAATCTTGCTGCTGGTACCTACTACAAAGAGTACAAACCAGTAAATAAAAATAAGAAAATTAGCATTAACAAAAATAGAGAAAATAAAGATGTTAAATTTTTAACACCGCACCCGAAGGCGAAAAGACCAATAATGACAAAGTCAATTCAATGAAGTGAGGATAAAAATAAATCCGTGCAGGGCAGAGTTCGTAAAAGTCACGAGCGGGGATGGAACCCGACCTAGAAGTCCGAGAAATTCTTCCGTTTTCTTTACCCCTGAGCTGCGGTTTCGCCGTCGGCTTTTGTACACTTTTCGGTACACGAGGCTGATATACAAATAGTAAAGGCAATGAAGCAATAGTCGCTAAGCACAAGATTCTGTAACCCTACGTTTCCTGGTTTAACCAATCGGAGCAAACAGTAGAAGAAACGGTCTGTAGGCTTTGTGAATATGCGTGTTGCTTCGCGCTTACGCAATTAAATTGAGGAGGAAAAATCTGATAATATTAAACTGCTGTTTGAAAAAAACATTATTTTCTGTATATTGCTTCATGTTTCTCACTATGAGAAACTACAAGTAGCTTTAAAAAGTAATGTTACGGCTTAGATTTATCAGTTTGAAGGAATTCTTTTTTTTTTTTTTTTTTTTTTTAAGTATGAATGTTATATTGTACTTAAACCAGCTTTTATATTTTTCAGCGCTCTTAAGGCCGTTATTCTTGTTACTTTCTAACATGTCACGATTCATTTTGCATAATGTCAACTAATTGTTCACGTATAGATGTTAATATTCATTTAAAGTTTCATTTGAATGTAATATAATAATAGTAACACAATACAGCTCGTTTTATCCAAGTTGCATGGGGTGCAGCCATTTTGAAAACTCTTTTCTTTTCGGATAACGTACTGTTAAACTAGTTTTTATTATTTAAAAAAAATAATAAGTTTTTTTTAAAAAAATACTTATTTTTGGTTTCATAATTTTCGAAATAGATGCTTTTTCTTAATACAGGTTTCATTAACTGAATTTTAAAATTATCTTTCTAAACGTTTTGTTTTCATTTAAAACAAATATCATGCAGCTGCAATTTCAAAATAATTGTAAAATGTTTATTCTTATCATAATTTTCGCACTTAAAATATTAAACCAGCGTTCTCTAGATAGAACTTGAAAGACACACAAAGAAAGTAGCAGGCTTGTTGTTTAATCGCATGAGTGATTACGAAGGAAAACGCAAGAAATACAAAGCATGAATTAAAAACTCATAGTTAACGGCTGATAGTTAATCTCATAGTTAACGGCATTCGATCAGTTTCAAAAATCCCTTAGTTCGATGCAAATTTTCTCATAGAATAGCAAAATTGGAAGGACTGTAAAAGCCTTTTATAATTTGTTTGAATATTTAAGCTTCTGTTTTTGGTAGTTTATTAACTTAAAGAAACCTTTATGTACCATGCAATTTTAATTGAAAAGTTTACTCTTTGACAGATATATCAGATAACATCGTTTGACATACAGTGCATTGTGGTCACTTGTTTTCTGTGTAGAATGTACATTTACTTGAAAGGAGTATAACTATAAAAAGTAATAAAATATTTGATGATAAAACTGGTTTTTGGATTCACTGTTTCAATACAATTTTTCTCTGCTGCTTCAATTAATTCAAATTTCAACGAAGTTCAGTTAAATGTGATTTTACAGTAAATACATTAAAAGTTAGGTGACAGAGCTTTTGAAAGTGTTTAATAGCCTATCAAAAGTCAAAATCAAAGCTGAAAGTGGGTAATAGACAATCAAAAGAGTTGTTATTAAAAGCACTCTATTCTCTTACTCTTCATCTCGTTAAATAAACCTAAATATTATTTCATATCTTTTCTGAATTTCATCTTAATTAGCATTTCCTCTGCGTGTATTATATGTTAGGAAACGTCGCTATGTTTTTTACGTGTATCATCTTAGCGGGGCTGTATAAACTTCAAACACGATTTTTCATGTTCGAGTGCAATAAAACAATATTATGAAAATTCGCTTAAAGGTGTAGGTATGGTTTATTCTGAAATCAGAACAAAACCAGAGGCAAATTTCTAGTAAGTTTTCTAGTATTTTTTCAAAAAATAAGTAGAGGGAAGCATTTGTTATTCACTGTCTTTAGGATAACGGAACAATGCTATGCTTGTTTAAAAAAGTACTGTGATTGAGTTGCCTCTATTCTTTATGGAAACCTCAATTACCTAGATTTTAAATGTTGTCCTAAAAGTAGAGCAATCAGATATACTCATAAAAAGAAGATAGGAAATCTCGTTTTCCCTCGTCTTTCTAGAAGAATTCATCAAACTGCCTTTTGTTAAAAAAAGAAATACTTGACCGCATTTTGTTTGTACTTTTCATACTATTAATCATGACTGTAGACGTTCACCAGTCTAGTGGGTCATCTGACATGAAATGAAAGTTTTCCCAGGTGCGGTATTCTCACGTTCAATCTGGTTTTTTTTACGTATATTAAATACTCATCTAAAACACGTGAACATTTTAGACAACATCTCTCTTTAGGTGAAGTTGTTTCGAATAACCCGCGTAGAGCTTTTTTGTGAGAATTCTTATGGAATATCTGAAGAAACTAATAATTTTAATGACTGTTTAAAAATAAAAATGGGAGCTGATTCTATATTTCGACTGTAGAACCATTTCTTCAAACTGATGCAGGCGAATTCGCAGCTAAAGTAAAGGAAACTATTCATTTCAAAGAAAGTTATTTGTGGAAGTTTTGCTTAACCTTCCGAAAGGGGTTGTTGAGGCTTCTTAATAATCGAAAAATGTAAGACTTGCGTTTCTTCTTCCGCTAATACTGAAGAAAATTTAATGATATAGCTATTTCGTTTTATCCATTTGAAGTATCTTGCTGCGTATAGTCAATCTTGTAGGGGCAAAAAGTAACGAGAATCGAAGTAAATCTGTTTGTAATTCTGTAACCGCGACTATCAGTGATAGGATGTAATAGAGACCTTAGCCATCTGCTAAAATTGCAGTGTAGTGATTTCATTCCCCTTCGACAAGCGAACTCCGAAGTAACTGCAGGAAATTTGAGCACTTAATTTCTTGTCTAATTCAAACCTGCTCTTTTATTGTCACTAACACGATTGCAATGTTCCATCTGCGATTCTTTGTTTACTTGCTACCACTTTCTTTTTTGTGGTACTCATCGTTCCGGATCGAGTGACTAGGCTTACTTTATGCCTTTATTTTGGCTATTTTCCAGCTCCGATCCGTGACTAGAGAAGTTTCACTAGGATAAGACTGAATATTAAAAGATTTTGCAGCGCATGCTTAAGAATCGTTGCTTTTGAAAAGGGTCAGCAGATGAGCAAGTAAAAAATAGGGCATATGGTAACCGCTGTACATATACAAAATGGATACTTTTCTTTTTGACACCTCTATATATTTTTTTAATATTTAATAAGAAATCATCTGTATATATTACATTTGAGCAAGTAAAAAGCATAGGACATATGGTAACCGCTGTACATATACAAAATGGATACTTTTCTTTTTGAAACCTCTATATTTTTTTAAATATTTAATAAGAAAAACTAATTATGTTGAGCGGCTTCTTGTGATAATCTTTTCATTCATGCAGCAACAACACCTGTTCTTTGTTCTATAGGTTTCATTTTATAGTGGTTCTTGTTGCATAGAGCGAAACAGAGAAATAAATGCTTCTTCACAAAGATGCATTGCGACATTATTGCCGCTTCGTATTTTATATCACTTCAAATAAAATTCAAATTTTCGATAATAATTCAAAACTTTTATTATCGAATAAACTTCATGGCATCCTACATGAAATCCTTAGCTGTTAGTTTTCGACCATACTGTATTTTTAAACGTTTTTCTTATCTACTGGCTTCTTACTGTCGACTGTTTTGTTGGAGTCTTCATGAATTATATAAAAAAAAATTAAATTGTCTTTTTAAGACTTCAGAGCTAAATATTTTTTTTTTAAATTTAAGTTTGACGTTTATTTGCACTTTGAGAAAGTAATAAACTGTGTAAGTTAGTGCAGCATTGATAGTTATTCTTCAAAAGTTAAACAAAAAAACCCTTGATACATTAGTGGATATATTTAAAAATGTTAAAATGTCTAATCTAGTTAAGTAAATCCTTTTCTGTACTTTTACTATGAAGTGAAGACTTATTTCTAGTACACCGTTACAAAGCTTGAAGGGAAAAAAAAAAGTCTTATGAAAACGTTACATCAGCGAAAATAGCTTTTCAAAATCGCTTTAATTTAGTAACACAAGAATCTGTCACTTAAGCGCTTTTAATTATTTGCTTGGAAAGAAACGATCATCATGAACGAGCTACGAGCATCACTAGAGCAACAAAAACTGCGGCATATTTGAGGAAGCTTGAAAAAATAATATTTGGTCATTGTTAAGCTTGCTTTATGCATACACATTTTCCCAGCTTTTCTCCTCCAGCATTCTCTCTGGTTCTTTTTCAGTTTAACATTTTCGTTATGTTCCTTGTCGATAGGAGAGCCCATATCGATTTACGACAGTACTTTAATATTTATTGCCTCTATATTGTAACAGTCTTCGGCCGTCAAACCTTTCATGGCTGCTATGTTTCGTTGCAGAGAATTCTTTTCTGGTATGGGCACTTCAACGAAACGAGAACTAGAAACTGTTTTCTTGCGTCCTGGCTCCTCTCATGACTAATATTTGCAAAATCGAGTATTCTGCTCTTGTTTTGAAAAGAATAGGTAAGTAGTACCGTCATTTGTTTTAATGATTTATTACGAATTTATGAGATATGTATTACGAAATAACAAGAAAGCATCTAATTTCTTTCGCGAATGTACACTGCGAAGAAAATAAATGGGGCAGTTCTATATCTCCCGTTCTACTGGGCCGTTTGACGAAATTCAAATTGCGTTTTTAATGTCTCGAAAGCGCGACTTAGGATGTGTATTAAACATATATATAGCACTGTTCTAATATAGGTATTTTGTCACAAAATCGGACTTTTCTGAAATGACATGCCAATTTTTTTCCATATTTCCATCCTACGACTAAAATTATGCCAAACTGCCTAGTTTTGTAAAAATCGCACGAGTAGTTTTTAAAAAATTAGCTGTTGAAATTTTAGCTCCACAATGTTAATTTGATATATATTTATTGATATCTCTTTCTTTATTAAACTTATTTGATTCTTCCTTTGACATTTCGAAATTTAGGTTCATTTCAAATAAAATTGAATTTTTTATGATTTATTTTTTAAATTTATATTTTTAAATAATTTTTATAAATTTTTTGAAAAAATTTTGAATTATAACCTATAAAAGTTCTGCCATCATCTTAAAGTAGATGTATTTCTAAGCGTACCTGCAAAAAATTAGTTTTTTATTCAAAATTTCCTAAGATATACGTGAATTTACATTTTTGGCATGTTTTGAAATTTGGCATATTTATTATAAGCGATAATAACGAAAATGTGGTTTACGCACTTTGTCAAAATTATTTGAAAGTATGAACGATGACTTTTTCCCCGCTCGTGGGCAATGAAGAAAATAAGAAGGAAAATAGGTTGCTGTAAATTAAGAAGTTCGCCAAGTGAATTATTTTTGACGCAAACTGAAAAAAAATTCGCCAAGATAAATTTTTAAATTTCTCTATAAATTTCTCACCAAAAATTACAAAATTTAATATCTAAGCATAATTTGAGTCGTAGAATCGAAATATGGAAAAAAAAGTCGGTATTCTACGTCAGAATAAGTTCGATTTTGTGTCAAAATACCTATGTTAGAACAAAGCTATATATAAATCTAATATATATCCTAAGTCGCGCTTTCGAGACATGGAAAACGCAATTTGAATTTCGTAAATCGGCCCATTAGAACGGGAGGTATAGAACTGTCCCCCCTTTCTTTTTTTTTTTTGGCGCAGTGTACTTCTTTATTACAACTCTTAAAAGCTTGATTCAGCAGCATTCCGAAAAAAAAAAAATTTCCCTCTTTCTCGTTCCTAGTAAGACTCTTAATCTCATGTTTTACGATTCAGAGTGGAATCTTTTTTCTTCCTTCATTTGTTTTCTTTTTTTTTTTTTTTGTATAATAATTGACCGAAATGGAGACTTCAACCTTTCTTGAAATGGCCAATTTCCATTCTAAAGCCTTTAATGAAATGCAATAACAATTTGTTTCAGCCTCGTCATGCTACTGTAACCCTTAACCAGGAAGACAGTCGTTGCTTATGTTTCACCGGTACATCGTTTATTGATGATATACATACTCCCCGAGTCATGTTTATTACGCTATTAGTAACAGGTGCTTCCCCCTACAGGTATAATTTGGTTGATGTTTCGCGGGGTGATGACTGAGAAAACTGTTGCCTTCGCTAATTAAAAAGCTGAGGTTGTGTGAAGGGCTTGCTTGATGACTGAATCAGTTCCTTCATGTACATGAAAACTGCTTTAATTACATTGCTGTTGTTGTTAGATATAACTTCCAACATTTTGTTATTAATTATTTGTTCTCCAGCCAAACAGTCATCGAGAAGAAATTTCAGTGTAATTTTTTTGGCTTATCTCAAATGGATATTAAACTTCGCCAGTAGAAATAACGCCTAAGATCAGTTCATCAATTCGTAATACATTCGAGAACACCAAAGCTGTGATTAATTACTGTATTTTGAGGTCAAAGTATGTGCACAAATGGCATCAAGGTGGTTGCCGTATTTTGTGCTCCATGCTTTGAAAGAAGTAAAATACATTAACTTTTCTAAAAGTGCTAAATTAGCAGTTTTTATAGAATTTGAATGAAAAAAAATGCAGTATAAGCCTTTTAATTCTCACTTACCGATATATAATGACTCCGACAAATATTTCTGAAGTGTGAGACGGCAAATGTCTAAGAAACCTCGGGCAGATGTAAATAAGTTGCAGTTTCTATAATGTCGACGCCAACAGTGGTACGAATAATTAGGAAGACTGTCCCCAGACGTGAAGTGATATTAATACCTTTATCGGAAAGATATTAATGAAAATATTACGTTATGGTTTTTCAATCTGACTTCTTTTTTATTATCTAGCTTAAGATATGAAGAACAGAATGTGAACGAATTTAATTCACCTTACTCGCTGTGATATCACAGGGGGCAGAAATAAATAAATAAATTAGTACACTCTGTAACTGCAGGAATTTGTATTTCCTGAGAGAAAATAATATTGTTAGACTGGCTATTGTAGATGCTTGTATGCTCTAAGTTAATATGTTGTTGTTTTCATTATGCAGAAGGAAAATTTAAAACTTATATAACTAGTACTTTTAATATAAATCTGAATAACGAGAAAGGGATGGAATCTTCCTGATCCAGGTTTGTGGTTCACACTGGATTGAGTAATAAAAAAATTGCTTCGAAAGGTGATTGAGATATACCTTAGGAGAGGAAAGGCAAATAAATCAGCACACACTGTTTTTAATTTTTATGGTATATATTAGATCTTAACAAGTAGTAAACAGTACATATGGGAAAAATAGAATTGATTTACTATGCCAATTAAGAATAGATTTAAGGCCTTAAGCAAATTCAAATTTTTATGTCACGAAATAATCTTTACTTGTTTTTATTCGTATTTTATTTCTATCATTTCTATCGAAATTCTTAACCAAGACGAAATTATATTGTGTTTCATAACATCTGTTTCCTTTGGTAAATAATATATTTCTTCTTATCGTGCCCAGAGTATTTTGTGATTGCTGAAATCAGTATATTAAAAAATTTGCATAACATTGATTTCTAAAAATGCTCATTGCTTTTGTTTTAAAATATCTAAAACTGTATCTCATAATGTCTTAAAAAATGTATCATTGATTTTAGGATATAGTGCTTCCTTTTAGAGTAGATGGTGCTGTGAGGATCAAATGTATTATACCATTGGGGTTGTAGCGAGCGCCCGCTGTCAAATATTAAGTTTAGACAATCTCTACCGTTCTTGGGGAGTGAATTTTGTACTTCGTTAATTAAAAGGGGAGCTCACTTCCGACATTTTTAGTCCATCCATCATCTGGAGTTCTTTGAGCCGAGATTTTATCGAAATCTTCATTTACGTTTTCCCTGTTTTTAGAAGGGAAAGAAAAATTACAATTTTGACATCTGCGATGCCGTGCTTAAATCTCTCTTTATCATTTTGATGCGAACTTATCTTTCCTTTTTTCTATTTAAACTCAGGCACTTTTTCCATTTCTTTTAGTCGTTAAGAAGAATGGCGTGCTTGATAATGAATCAGGTTTAACATGTAGGTATGGGGTTAGTCTTAGGTAAGGCATATTCGAAAAAAGCTTGTGTGTTCTAACTTTCTAGATAAAGAGCTCTTTCTGTTTACTTTATTGGAAAAATTGACTAACTTTTTATTCTGTTCTCTTAAACAATAGATTTCGGCAAAAAAGGTGGTTAATGAATACAGTTTTGTAATATCACGCAGATGAAGGGAAAGACGTCCAATTTGTTTTAAGCGTAACATACCTGTACCTAATAACTGTTTTAAAATTCTGTCTCTGTTTTCTTCAATGCCTTTAACACAATGTTCCGTAAAACATCGGGTACAAGCAGAATGGTTTCATTGCAGCCTTCCAATAATTCTTGAACGGCATCTTTGAGATCATCACCGTCGCTGTAAGGTGCACCTGCAAATCCCTTCTTCAGTTTTCGACACAAAATGAAGTCACTAGTAGCCAGGATGGTGGACGAGGGAGAAATTGAAATTCGCATTGCTGAACTAGCCAGTCTGAGAAATCTTGTCTTGTGGAGTGCAATCTCATAGAATCGACACTTTTTTGTTACGTTTGCCACGGTGTTTTACCATTTTGACGTGTTGGAGTTGAGTTAGCAGATTATTATCAAAAGCACCTGTTATTAAAGCCTGTTATCACAGCCTTTAAACATTGCCTTCAGTCACTCACTTGTTGGAGTTGAGTTAGCATATTATTATCAAAAACACCTGTTATTAAAGCCTGTTATCACAGCCTTTAAACATTGCCTTCAGTCACTCACTTGTTGGAGTTGAGTTAGCAGATTATTATCAAAAACACCTGTTATTAAAGCCTGTTATCACAACCTTTAAACATTGCCTTCAGTCTGCCTTCAGTCATTTGACGTTAACCATCCCTATAACGCGGGCCAGATAAATGGCACTTCAGTTTGTGAAACAAGCAAATCGGGGGTGGGAGCTTGCTTTGGCATGTCTATTATAGAGTAATATTTTCTTTTTCTCGGTAGTTAACTCTCCGTATGTAGGCTAGCAGTTTTTTTGACGCTTCGAATACCGGTTTTGAAGAGGAGTTTCGTATATGCTTGTACTGCAAGCATTAATTTCTTCATGCCTGCTGTACCTATTTTCTTATGAATAAGCTGTTGTATGAGACTGCTTCTAATTTTTATTATTTGATAAATAAAACTTAAAGAATGACTTAGACGCAGATTTGTTTTGGTTATACCACAAAATCATAATTTACACACACACACATATATATTTTTACCTGCTGTACATATAAAAAATATTACTGCAGTAAAACGCTTTTGATTTTATTTGTTAAAATAAAGTCTCGTTGTTTCTGTTGTTATTATAGCTCAGTTATATGACGGTAACATCAAAACATGTTAACGAATTTTTTGTGGCGGGGAGCGTAGGATTTCGCCTGCCGTATGTTTGGGCTTAGGTACCTTATAGGTGGGTGACACTGCGAATTTGTGCATTTCCTCCCCA